TGCAGCTCTTCCTTGTCAGAAGTGAGAAATTAGTTTAATATACCGCACAAAAGAAAGACAGAAGGGAAGGAGAGATCCCCTCATTAAATGCTCACCATTTGAGCCCTGCTTAATATGTTGACTGATAACTAGTATACGCAGTTGCAACAAGCAGAGGCCATTCCAAACAATGATGCCCATCTGTTATGGTAGCACTTTAGTCTTAGAACTTCCAGCTGCCACTTCTGGTTAGATGTGTCACATTATGCATAGCCTTGCGTACCAAATGAGTATGGTCTGTACTCCCTGATCATGACTTTTGCAGCTTAAGCATCGCCCTGCATGTGCATTAACAGGCTGAAATCCTAGTGACAGTAACTGAGCAAGCATGTGTGTGCATGCAGGGGGAAAAAAAAAAAAAGGGAGGGGAATAAACCTATTTCAAAAAAACCAGGCTACTCTCCATTTTATTTAGAGTGGGCATTTCAACGTACAAACGCATCATGCTTTCAATACCCCATACCAACACAGCATCCAATATAGATACCAATAGCATCTCAGGTTCAACGATTACAGGAGGGGCACTAAGGGAGCAAGAAGACACTACTAAAGTTAGTTTTGACTTCCTAACTCAGGTCATTCTAAATGTCTTACTGAGAAAACCAGCAATGGTCACTACTAACCTCCACTGCAGGCCTGATTTCCACAGCTAAGTGACTTTACAGAAATTATCCCTCTGTTTTGCAGAGAAATGAAGCCTATTTGACTACTGCGTTAACATCTAGTATAAGCTTCAAAGTTCTAATCAGGAACCTCATACTCTCTGTCAGTCTGATAATGACACTTGTCAATAGGAATGGAGCTGATGGTGGAAGCAAAGGGGGATCTTTCCTCTCTCCCAGGCGATACGTAAGCAGAGACACAACTGCAAAGAGAATCATCCCAAAAGATGATTCTGTTTGTATACTTAAGCATCTTGTGCTTTGGCCTGCAAGGTACAGCATGTAAGCGCATGACTGTATCCTTGCGACTCTCTAGAGAGGTCAATGCAGATCCCCTCCATGCAGGCCTAAACGCGTACGAAGGCTTTTGTAAGACGCACCCTTGCAGTCCTGGGACAGATGGATATACCAAAGTATTAACATAATATTTTAGACCAACGCAGGCCTCATCTCTTGCAAAGACTGCAAAGCAACCTGTGTGACCTGAAGCGTTTTGCACTCTTCATCAGCCGGGGTTGATAGTCCCCCTCGCCCATTGCTATACAGCACGTGGTAGCTGTGTCTCTGTTGCACCACGTTCGCAATAATAATGAGGTACTGCAAAATAACAATAGGGTTAACCGAGATTACAGTAGCATGATCGATCTAAAGCCAAGCTGGTTACCTGGTTTTCATACTGCTTTTTTCTAGTCATCTCCATTTTGGCAACTTCTTCATCAGGATCCTGCAGGAACTACAGAAAGGAACATGTAGTTTCGGGAGTACAACCCCCGGGACAAGCGACAGCCGGCCACCGCGACACGCACCCGGCGGGTCCCTCAAGGTCGCAGCAGCAGACCACCGCCACCACATGGCCCCCCGCCACCCAACAAAAGGAGGCGAGGGCCCGGAGGCCAAGCCCGGCGGCGGGCCAGCCGCTGGCCCGCGGGCACCAGGGCGGGCCGCCGGGCCCGCACTCACCGTGGCCACATCGGCTTTCCTCTTGCGGGCTCGCATGGCGCACTCCGCAGCCCCGTCCCCCTTGGCGGGAGCCTTCTCCTCCGCGCAGTCGCTGCCAAGAGAGGAGAAGCTGAGGGAGCCCCGGCCGCGGGGAGCCTCCTCGGGGGTGCCCGACGGAGACCTCGGCCTACAGGGCCCCGCGCGCGGCGGGGCCGGCGGACTCACCTCTCCCGGCGCATGGTGCCCTCCCGGGCCGGGTCGGGGCGAGCGGAGCGCCGTGCGGGGAGCGGCCGAGCAGG